AAGTGTATGGAGTAGAACTGAGGGAAGTGAATGGACAGTAGGAGACTAGGGAGTGAATGACAGAGGAGACTGAGGGGAAGTGATGGAAGTAGGAGATAGGGGAGTGTTATGGACAGTAGGAGACTGAGGGGAGTGATTGAGTCAGGAACTAGGGAAGTGAATGGACAGTAGGAGACTGACGGGGAAGTGATGGCACAGTAGGAGACTGAGGGAAGTGAATGGACAGTAGGAGACTGAGGGGAAGTGAATGGACAGTAGGAGACTGAGGGGAAGTGAATGGACAGTAGGAGACTGAGGGGAAGTGAATGGACAGTAGGAGACTGAGGGGAAGTGAATGTGTAGTAAGATGGGGGAGTGAGGGATGTAGGAAAATGAAGGAAAGGAAGAGGAAAAATGAAGTGGAGGGTGAGGAGGAGGATGAAGAAGAGGAAGAGGAGGCAGAGGAGGCAGAAGAGGAAACAAGAGGAATAAGAAGATGTAGGAGAGAAAAAAGAGGAATAAAAGGAGGAAGAAAAGAAAGAGGAGAAGAAAATGGAAGAGAAGAAGGAGGAAGAGGAGAAAGAGGAAGAGGAGAAAGGGGAGGAAGAGAAGGGGTAAATAAACGTTTTTCCACTATCAGAAAAGTGTATATCATAACCTGTCTTAATAACCTCTAATAAGTCTTAGTTATGACACTAGAAACTAGTAATTACAATGATTTATGAGAAGATGAAAAGGGGAGAATGAAAGGGAGAAAGAGAAGAGAGAGAGAGAGAGAGAGAGAGAGAGAGAGAGAGAGAGAAGAGAGCGAGAGAGAAAGGAGAGAGAGAGAGAGAGAGAGAGAGAGGAGAGAGAGAGATGAGAGAGAGGGGGGGGAGAAGAGAGAGAGAGCGAGAGAGACAGAGAGAGAGAGAGGGAGGGAGGGAGGATGTTGTCACCTGGAGAAGAAGTTCATATCCTTGGGGTGAAATTTGACTCCAAACTAACCATGAAGAACCATGTTGTAAATCTTGCAAACAAGGCAGCCAGGAAGCTTACAGCACTTCGCCGTATCTCGCATCTGCTTGACAGTAGGGGTTGCAAGATCCTGTACGAGGCACAAGTACGCTCACACCTTGAGTATGCTCCACTTTCTTGGTTTGCCTGCCCCCCCCCCTCTCATCTGCGACTGCTTGAAAAGAGTAGAGAACAGAGCAAGACGTCTCATCTCTCGCCTGGACCCATCCTGGATAGATCTGTCATTTCAGCAGAGCCTTCAACATAGGAGGGATGTGGGTGGCCTTACTGTTATGTACAAGGCCAATATTGTCAAATACCACACTTGGATCCACTTCGAGGACAGCGTGAAACAAGCTTTTATGCCACAAGACGGGCAGAAAGCAGCAACTTCACTCTGGCTGTACCCTTCTCCAGAACATCACTCCATCTGAGATCATACATACCCAGGATGACTCGAGTATGGAACACATTCGTACAGCATAATGATGTCAACGAGATAAAGTCAGTTGATCAAATGAAAATGCTGGCCCACAGATGGCTCCAACTTCATCCTGTTCCCTACTTGTATGTCTCATAACGATAAAAATGCTTTCAAATGAGCTGATGTAGGTAACAGCTCTTAGCTTGCCAATAAAGTTAGGAATCCTTAACCTGTAAATAGCTGTCAATAAAGCTAGGGATCCTTAACCTTGTCAAACCCTGTGTAAAAAAAAAAAAAAGAGAAGAGAGAGAGAGAGAGAGAGAGAGAGAGAGAGAGAGAGAGAGAGAGAGAGAGAGAGAGAGAGAGAGAGAGAGAGAGAGAGAGAGAGAGAGAGAGAGAGAGAGAGAGAGAGAGAGTGAGGCTAATTTTGTTATGGTGCAGGAGACAGTGGAGAGGTAGTTAAGAGGTTCACTCACTTAGCATTAATCTATATACTCCTCTCTCTCTCTCTCTCTCTCCTCTCTCTCTCTCTCTTCTGTCTTCTGTTTTTTTTATATATATATATATATATATATATATATATATATATATATATATATATATTCAGAAGATATACATCCCTGTGTGTATATATGCATTATGTAAAGTACACACTTCTCGTCCGTGGGAGAGAAAAGGGCACTAAGCCCTTTTTTTCTTCTTAATAATTCTCGTCTAATTTACCCAACTTCACTAATTGGTCAATCCGTCAAAACAAAATTTCGAGATACAAAACTCTATACATTCAATTTTTATATTGGGTTCAATTCGTGGCTTCCAGAGACGCCGTTCGTGTCTAAAAGTTATTTTTTTTAATTATTTTCATTATATATTTTTAAAACTTTTAGGTAAATACTCTGAGAGTTCTTTTAAAGTTCCTAAATATAGTGAGGTGTTTGACTTCTTGTGAAATTGTACCACCAGAGGTGGTAACAGTGGTGGTAACAGTGGTGGTAACAGTGGTGGTAACAGTGGGGTAACTGGTGGTAACAGTGGTGGTAACAGTGGGGGTAACATGGGGTTTAACAGTGGGGTAACACTGTGTAAGTGGTGGTAACAGTGGGGGTAACTGTTGTGGGTAACAGTGGTGGTAACAGGGGTTTGGGAACAGTGGTGGTAAAGTGGTGGTAAAGTGGTGGTGGTAAGGAGTGGTGGTAAATGGTGTGGAAACAGTGGTGGGGGAAGAGTGGTGGTGGTAACAGTGGTGGTGTAAAGTGTGGGGGAAAGATGGTGGAGTAGAGTGGTTGGTAAATGTGGGTGGTGTAAAGTGGTGGTAAACTGTGGTGGTAAAATGGTGTGTGGTGGGTTAAAGTGTTGGTGGTAAAGTTGGGGTTTAAAATGGTGGTAAGATTGGTGGTAAAGTGGGGGTAAAGGGTGGTTAAAGTGGTGGATACTGGTGGTAACAGGGTTGTGTTACAGTGGTGGGGTAACAGTGGTGGGGTAACAGGGTGGTAACAGGGGGTGGGGGTAACAGTGTGGTGGTGGTAACAGTGGGTACATGGTGGTGGTAACAGTGGTGGTGGTAACATTGGTTTGGTGGTAACAGTGGTGGGTAACGGGGTGGTAGCAGTGTGGTGGTAAAATTGTGGTGGTACAGTGGTGGTGGTAGCAGTGTGGGGGTAACAGTTGGTGGTGGTAACAGTGGTGGTGGTAGCAGTTGTGGTAAAGTGGTGTGGTAACAGGGGTGGTAACATGTGGTAACAAGGGTTTGGTAATTTAGTGGTGGTAACAATGGTGGTGAAGGGGGGTAACATGTGTTTAGAGTGGTGGTAACAGTGGTGGTGGTAACAGTGGGGGGGTGGAAACAGTGGGGTAACATTTGGGTAACAGTGGTGGTGGTAACGAGTGGGGTGGGGTAACAGGGTTGGTGGTGGTAACAGGTGGGGGTAAGGGTGGTGGTAACAGTTGTGGTGGTAACAGTGGTGGTGGTAACATTTAGTGGTGGTAACAGTGTGGTGGTAACAGGGGGTAACACCTGTGGAAACAATTTTGTGGTAACAGTGGGGTGTCAGTGGTGGGGGTTTGGTAACAGTGGGTGGTAGCAGTATGGTGGAAACATGGTGGGGTAAAAAGTGGTGGTGGGTGGTAGTGGGTAACAGTGGTTTGGGTTTGTGGAAACAGTGGTGGCGGTAACAGTAGTGGTGGTAACAGTGGTGGGGGGTAACAGGGGGTCACTTTGTAACAATGGTTGTGGTAACAGGTGGTAAAATTAAGTTTTAAACAGTGGTGGTGGAACAGGGGGATTTAACACCGGGGTTGGGTTTTTAACATGGGGGGTTGTGGTAACTTTTGGTGGTGGTAACAGTGGTGGTGGTAACAGTGGGTTTGGTGGTAAAGTGGTGGTGGTAACAGTTAGTGGTGGTAACAGTGGTGGTGGTAACAGTGGGGGTTTAAACACTAGGGGTTTGTAACAGTTGGGGTTTAACCATTGGGGGTGTAACAGTATGGTGGTAACAGTGGTGGTGGTAACAGTAGTGGTGGTAACAGGGGTGGGGGTGGTAACAGTGGGAGTAACACTGTGGTACAAGGGGTATTGGTGGGGGTTTAACATGTGGTGGTAGCGTGGGGGAAACAGTGGGGTGGTAACAGGGGGAGTAACACCTGTGGTAACAATGGTTGTGGTAACAGTGGTGGTGGTGGTAACAGTGGGAGTAACACCTGTGGTAACAATGGTTGTGGTAACAGTGGTGGTGGTGGTAACAGTGGGGAAAAGTAACCCCCTTGTGAACAATGGTGTGGTAACAGTGGTGGTGGTGGGTAACAGTGGTGGGGTAAACAGTGTGTGGTAACAGGTTGGTGGTGGTAACAGTGGGGCGGTAAAAAGGTGTGGAAAACAGTGGTGGGGTTTAACAGGGGGTAACCTGTGGTAACAATGGTTTGTGGTAACAGTGGTGGTGTGGTGGTAACAGTGGTGGTGGTAACAGTAGTGGTGGTAACAGTGGTGGTGGTGGTAACAGTGGGAGTAACACCTGTGGTAACAATGGTTGTGGTAACAGTGGTGGTGGTGGTAACAGTGGTGGTGGTAACAGTAGTGGTGGTAACAGTGGTGGTGGTAACAGTAGTGGTGGTAACAGTGGTGGTGGTAACAGTGGGAGTAACACCTGTGGTAACAATGGTTGTGGTAACAGTGGTGGTGGTAACAGTATTGGTGGTAACAGTAGTGGTGGTAACAGTGGTGGTGGTAACAGTGGTGGTGGTAACAGTATTGGGTGGGTAACAGTGGGTGTGGGTAACAGTGGTGGTGGTAACAGTAGGGTTTGTGGTAACAGTGGTGGTGGTAACAGTAGTGGTGGTAAAGTAGTGGTGGTAACAGTGGTGGGGGGGTTAACATAGTGGTTGGTAACAGTGGTGGTGGTAACAGTTAGTGGTGGTAACAGTAGTGGTGGTAACAGTGGTGGTGGTGGTAACAGTGGTGGTGGTAACAGTAGTGGTGGTAACAGTGGTGGTGGTAACAGTAGTGGTGGTAACAGTAGTGGTGGTAACAGTGGTGGTGGTGGTAACAGTGGTGGTGGTGGTAACAGTGATATCACAGGATAAAAACAGCCACGTAAAATCGACTTACCTATTCCCGAAAAGTGATCATCTCGCACTCTTCATTCAGAGTCTGGTAGTACTGGACGAGGCTCGATCCTCCGTCCCCTGACGCACATCTGAACTTTACCCGTGACCTCTGCAGAAAGTTGTGCTCCCTTCTTCCCTTCTCGGCTGACTGGTGGATTAGCCTGACTGTTTGTCCCAGCACCCTGTAGGCAGCACCCTGCGGCCTACGCATTCGTCAATATTTTGACACATCTACACACCCACTAGTATTTTCCCTCCATTTACCTGCAAGAAAAAAATATACATTAGAAAATGTATATAGTAAATTACATAATAAATTCAGTGTATATACATGAACAAGTTGTACACCTATAAGCAAATAATGTATATATATATATATATATATATATATTATATATAAAATATTATATATATATATATAATATATATATATATATATTATATATAATATATATATATATATTATATATATATATATGTGTGTGTTGTGTGTGTGTGTGTGTGTGTATATATATATTATATATATATATATATATATATATATATTATATATATATATATATATATATATATATTATATATAAAATATATATATATATTATATATATATATATATATAATGTGAAATGTTTACCAATCAACAGATGATCCAGAATATTAGCGCGTTTTACAGGAGCAGAGATTGATCAGCAATAGCATTTCTTGTGTCTCTTGGGTCAATGCCATCGATTGAAACTTAAAAAAAAGTCTCAGACCTCCGGATGAAGGAAAGAAGGATGAAAGCATTGAAACCATGATTCCTTCTACCTACTACCGGTTTCCTCTCATCCCAAAAAACTTACCTACTTTCTGAGATGCTTCCCAGCCTTCAGCAGTCCCAAAACTCAAGAATATGGGCTCTCCTCCTTAAGACCATTGCTAGAGAGTGTATTGAATCTTTCCTTGAAGATGGACAGTAGTTACAAGCCTCACTTCGGTCAGGCTTGGGGGGCTAGGAGTACGCAGATCTCAAGTTGCTCTACCAGCTTTCGTATCCTCTTCCATAGCATCAAAAGAGTTGATAAGACAAATTCTTCCTGATACCCTCAGCGACTCAGCAGGAATAGAAGACCCTAGCTATGCCAGTGCCATCACTGAATGTGAAAATCTTGCTGCTCCAGCACCAAACCTAAGTGCAGAACTGGCTCACAAACAGTTAAGCTGGGATGGCCCGATCGCTGAAAAGGTGCTTGCCCAAAATGTCAGGGCTGCAACATCAGATAGAGAGATTGCCCGTCTCCAGGCTGTGAGCGCACCTCACTCCGGGGACTTCCTCCAAACAGTTCCCATATCGGCAATGGGAACGCGACTTGACCCTAAGACCCTCCGTATTGCAGTGGCTCTGCGCCTTGCTGCCCTAATTCACACAGAATATATGTGTATTTTCGGCGAAGTGCAAGCCCGACCCAATATGGTCTACATGGTCTTTAAAAGTTCCAAACCAAGGGCTGGCATGCAAGACACAATGAGGTCAAAGACATCATAAGAGAACCCTTGCTACAGCTGGATGCCCTGCCGAGAGGGAGCACGATCACTTTTTGCAGCAAACAAATACCAAACCCCGCAAACCGCCCCGACGGGATCACCCTCTATCTTTGGAAGAATGGCAACTCTTCATGGGACTTATTGTTTCCACCTGGGTGACCCTAATCCATCACAGGTGGGGGGGACAGGGAGGGAGCTGCTGA